CCCCATCAATTCTATGATTCACTCTCTTTCAGACCATCCCCTGACACGTCCTCCCAAATTCTGAATCGTTCCCTCCCCATACTTCTCCCCCCAAACTGTTTTTCAACTTCATACCCATTTTTTGTTTTCCTTAACCTTTCTCTTTCCCGTATTCCCTTTTTTTTCTTCTTTTTCACACCCTACAAAATTTATCCACCAAATTTTGAACTTTTTCAGAAACTCCCCAAAAGCACGTGCTCAGCAAAGAGCAGCTGTGAAACTCCCACTTTGTGTGTGATTCTTTTTTTTTAAAACTCCCGTTTTGCCAAGACCCTGTTTTTACTTCTCTTACAACCCCATTTTTAAAAATATTTTAAAACAACCCGGTGAATCACACACCTTGTCAAAGACCTACTTTTACTGGGAAAAAAATTCCCCTTTTCTACATACCAAAACTTGAGCCTCATATCCTGAAAAAAACTCTTCACTGCTTTCAAAAACCTACCTCCTACACCATACATTTGCAACATCTGCCACTTCCCCCCCTATCCCCCCTGTCTTACGCCTTTTCCAAATCCTTAAATGCCACAAAGACCTCTTTCCTTTCTAAATACTGTTCATTATATGTTTCACGAAAAACACCTGGCCCACACCCCCTACCTTTCCTAAAGCCCCCTTGGGATCTGCTACCCTATTCTCCGTTTACTTTTAAATTCTTTCAATTTAACTTCCTACATTTTACCAGGTCACTCAACAGACTTACCCCCCTATAATTTTTGCACTCTTTTTATCCCCTTTGCCTTTATAAAAAGGGGGAACTATGCATGCTCTCTGCCCAAACCCTAGGTACCTTACCCTCTTCCATAATTTTTTAAATAATTGCACCCAACATCCAAAATTTACCCCACCAAGAATTACGTTTTAATTTTTTGTGAAATATTAGTGAGTAAGGGACCCCTCCCGTAATATTAGACGGATCGAATACCACCGTTTTGTGCTGAAAAGGGACTGTTTCAAAGCAGCAGTTGTGGAGGTAATTTCAAAATGCTCCCTTTAGTTTGATTTTTAAACTTTGAAGTGGTCATCCCTTTGGGGAATTTTGAATTTGTGTTGTGTTCAGCTGTCTTCCTTTTTACTTAAATCTTCAAATCTAATATTTAACTTCTTACAAAAATTATGCTGCCTCGTACCATCCTTTTTGTGTGTCTGAGGTACGGGGGGTGGGTTATGCAATACATGGAACTCTTTGGATTGTGCAGTGATAAAATGCGGTAAAACCTCTCTCATTTTTTTTCTGCAATTTTGGACAAAAAATTGGTCACTAAATGCTTATTATCAGACAAAATGGACAGAAGTTCGTAATTCTGCATTTTGTCTGTAGTATTAGTGTCTGGTTGTTTTCTGAAGTATTGGGCAAAGTCTGCTAACTCTGATGTTTGTCCATTGTGTATCATAGTGGACAAGTTCAGGAACAGTCTGTTTTCACTGTTCCCTGAGCTGTAGACAAATGCGCCAATTTTATTTGTACTCACTCATGCCTACACCCGTCATTCAGTTTCCAACTTTACCTGGATTTAGCACATTTTGTGTTGTTATTAATGTATTAGGTAAAGTGTTATTAACAATGGCTTCTAAAGTAAGTGGTGGTGCCAAGAGAAAATGCGTGGATCTCAGAAATCTATGTCTGCTCAGCCATCTACATCTTCTGTGCCATCTACATTATTTTCACTAGTAGAACTTCACAGTTCCTCTGACTCAGAGTAAAAGTTATTCTGAGTTACAACTATCAGTCACAGTAGTTTACACCTCATGTCCCCACTATGAATAGTTGAGTAAAATTACTGTAAATTATGTAGAGTACTATAAAATTACTCTACAGTACAGTACTGTACTGTAGTACAGCAGGTAAGGATACCCGCATTCTTAGTATTCAGTTGCCGTCTGCATCAGTGGACCAAGTCCACTGTACACTACTTCAGAAAGCAACCAGATAATCATGAAATATTAATTTCATAATTTGGGAGTTGTGGACACCCATTATTGTACACCCATTATTGTACACCCCTCCCTTCCATTAATCTGTTAAAGAGAGGTTTTACTGTACATGTAGTTAAGATTAACACTGGAAGGTAACCCACAAAAGTCAGACTGTGTAGGTTATTTCCATTGGTGTCCAGAATGTGACCATGTAACAGGCAGCAAATGTTATCTGGCTTGTTGACATGTCTCTCCCCACCAGCATTGAACATACAGTTGAGTTGAATACTCTACCACACTGTACATAAAACATTAAATTTTTGCTCTACTTTACCCTTAAAATGCAATTTCAACAACAATTTTGATAATTTATACAATGCTTGGTGTTGCTAAACTAATAACACAGTACCTCCTGTGTTTGTAAGTAACATTTATGAAGGGATTCAGGGAAACCGGCAGGCCGGACTTGAGTCCTGGAGATGGGAAGTACAGTGCCTGCACTCTGAAGGAGGGGTGTTAATGTTGCAGTTTAAAAACTGTAGTGTAAAGCACCCTTCTGGCAAGACAGTGATGGAGTGAATGATGGTGAAAGTTTTTCTTTTTCGGGCCACCCTGCCTTGGTGGGAATCGGCCGGTGTGATAATAAAAAAAAAAAATAAAACATGTATGTATATATGTAATGGTAAAAAAGAAGGTCTTAGACAGGGTTGTGTAATGTCACCATGGTTGTTTAATACGTATACAGTGGACCCCCGCATAGCGAACTTAATCCGTGCAAGAGGGCTGGTCGTTATGCGAAATGTTCGCTATGCGAATTAATTTTCCCCATAAGAAATAATGGAAATAAAATTAATCCGTGCAAGACACCCAAAAGTATGAAAAAAAATTTTTTTTACCACAAAAAAATGTTAATTTTAGTACACACAAACTGAAAAAGGCATGCACAATTACATGACACTTACTTTTATTGAAGATCTGGTGATGATTGATGGGATGGGAGGAGGGGAGAGAGAGTGTTAGTGTTTAGAAGGGGAATCCCCTTCCATTAGGACTTGAGGTAGCAAGTCCTTTTCCGGGGTTACTTCCCTTCTTCTTTTAATGCCACTAGGACCAGCTTCAGAGTCACTGGACCTCTGTCGCACAACAAATCTGTCCATAGAGCTCTGTACCTCCCGTTCCTTTACGATTTGTCTAAAATGGGCCACAACATTGTCATTGAAATAGTCACCAGCACGGCTTGCAACAGCTGTGTCAGGGTGATTTTCATCCATAAAGGTTTGCAGTTCAACCCACTGTGCACACATTTCCTTAATTTTTGAAGTAGGCACAATGGATTCCACAACTGGCATAGGCTTCTCAGGGTTAGCCCCAAACCCTTCAAATCTTTCTTAATTTCCATACTAATTCTCACCCTTTTTACCACAGGGTTGGCACTAGAAGCTTTCTTGGGGCCCATGGTCACTTATTTTCCAGAAACAGCACCGAAAACACTGTAATAATACGAAATATTCCGAGTGTATGCTTGAATGTTACCGCGGAGGCTGGCTGGTAAACAATGGGACGGGCGGCACATGTGAGGCTGGCTGAGGCCGCACATTGGACGCGTCTCGGACGAAGGTCGCTGAGCGGGTTTTTGTCCACTATGCGGGGCAAAATTTTGGCGAACAAAGCGTTCGCTATGCGGATTGTTCGCTATGCAAGGCGTTCGCTATGCGGGGGTCCACTGTATTTATAGATGGGGTTGTAAAAGAAGTAAATGCTAGGGTGTTGGGGAGAGGGGTGGGATTAAATTATGGGGAATCAAATACAAAATAGGAGTTGACACAGTTACTTTTTGCTGATGATACTGTGCTTTTGAGAAATTTTAAAGAAAAGTTGCAAAGGCTAGCGGACGAGCTGGGAGGGTGTGTAAAGGTAGAAAGTTGAAAGTGAACATAGATAAGTGTAAGGTGATGAGGGTATCAAACGATTTAGATAAAGAAAAAATGTATATCACATTGGAGAGAGGAAGTATGGAAGAAGTGAATGTTTTTAGATATTTGGGAGCTGACTTGTCAGCAGATGGATTTATGAAGGATGAGGTTAACCATAGACTTGATGAAGGAAAAAAGGTGAGTGGTGTGTTGAGGTATATGTGGAGACAAAAAACATTATCCATGGAGGCAAAGAAGGAAGTGTATGAAAGTACAGTGGTACCTTGGGATACAAACTTATTTCGTTCCAGAAGGCTGTTCGAGTGCTGATACTGAACGAATTTGTTCCCATAAGGAATAATGTAAATTAGATTAATCCAGTTCAGACACCCAAAAATACACTTACAAAAGCACTTACATAAATACACTTACATAATTGCTCACGTTTTGAGCTGTTCGTATCCCAAGGTATCACTGTATAGTGGTACCAATGCTCTTATATAGGTGTGAAACTTGGGTTGTAAATGCTGCAGTGAGGAGGTGGCTGGAGGCAGTGGAGATGTCCTATCTAAGGGCAATGTGTGGTGTAAACATTATGCAGAGAATTTGGAGTGTGGAAATTAGGAGGTGTGGAGTACTAAAAGAATTAGTCAGAGGGCTAAGGAGGGGTTGTTGAGGTGGTTCAGACATGTAGAGAGGACTGAACAATATAGAATGACTTCGAGAGTGTATACATCTGTAGTGGAGGGAAGGCGGGGTAGGGGTCGGCCTAGGAAAGGTTGGAGGGAGGTAAAGGAGGTTTTGTGTGTGAGGGGCTTGGGCTTCCAGCAAGCATGCACGAGCATGTTAGATAGGAGCAAATAGAGACAAATGGTTTTTAGGACTTGAGGTGCTGTTGGAGTGTGAGCAAGGTAACATTTATAAAGGGGTTCAGGCAAACTGGCAAATTGGACTTGAGTCCTGGAGATGGGAAGTACAGTGTCTACACCCTGAAGGAGGGGTGTTAATGTTGTAGTTTTATAACTGTAGTGTAAGCGCACCTCTGGCAAGACAGTAATGAAGTGAATGCTGATGAAAGTTTTTCTTTTTCGGGCCACCCTGCCTTGGTGGGAGATGGCTGATGTGTTAATAAAAAAAAAATGTAACATGGCTACAGATGTGTGCACCACGGGAATCGTACTACATGAAGAAAGGAAACGAGGGCTTTCTTGTGCCTGAAGGAGAATGCTTTCTACTGAGACCCAACCAAACCCAGCCTCAGCGACTACGACCTACAAGCAGTAAGTCCTCGTGTGCAGTTCTTGCACATTAATCATTTCTTCTTCTTCTCTCAACAAACCGGCCGTATCCCACCGAGGCAGGGTGGCCCAAAAAGAAAAACAAAAGTTTCTCTTTTTTAAATTTAGTAATTTATACAGGAGAAGGGGCTATTAGCCCCTTGCTCCCGGCATTTTAGTTGCCTCTTAACCCGTAATGGTCCGAACGTATATATACAATGTACGTTTTTTCAACATTTGAAAGTATGTAAAAAAAGTAGATCTTTTTTTGTTTTTTTACATTTGAAAATGTGTAAAAGAAACTTTGATCTACTTTTTTTTTTGTTATATTTGAAAATATGTAAAAAAAACGTAGATCTACTTTTGGAGCAATACACATGTGAACGTAGATCTGCTTGGACCATTTATGGGTTAAAACACGCATGGCTTACGGAGGAAGAATTCTGTTCCACTTCCCCATGGAGATAAGAGGAAATAAACAAGAACAAGAACTAGAAAGAAAATAGAAGAAAACCCAGAGGGGTGTGTATATATATGCTTGTACATGTATGTGTAGTGTGACCTAAGTGTAAGTAAAAGTAGCAAGACGTACCTGAAACCTTGCATGTTCATGAGACAGAAAAAAGGACACCAGCAATCCTACCATCATGTAAAACAATTACAGGCTTTCGTTTTACACTCACTTGTCAGGATGGTAGTACCTCCCTGGGTGGTTGCTGTCTACCAACCTACTACCTACAATTAATCATTTCTCTTGTTGAATTTTCAAAATCTCTGGTCTCAGGTGTATGAGCATTCAAATACACTTCTCACATTAACTTTGTAGTCTTGGTGAAAAGGTAGAACCAAGAAGGTAATAAAAAAGATTTAAGAAATAATGTGAACTTTATAATTGTAGTTAACTGCACAAAAAATCCTACTAAATAGTCTGTTTAGTTCTTATGTAGTCTTTAAGGATAAATATTATAGTGTTAAAATGAGGAATGCTTTTGCTCTTTTAATCTTGGAAAAAATACATTGTTCATTTTATCCCATATGTCATTTTAAAATTATCATTTTGTACCTGACTTAAAAGTGATATACTTTAGACTCAGGTTAAACAAAACTCAACAAAAAAGAATTCAGGATAGGAATGTTGAAACAAGATGCCTACAGCATTACCTAACAGCTTTAAACACACATCATCTAATCTGGCATGAAATTTTGCACCAAAACATTTTAAAAACTCAACATAAGGAAAAACTGATAAAAAAAAAATTATGGCAGAATGGAAGCTTTTACCGAGACAATGTTTTCCTTGGAGACCAAGTTTTTTCAAGCCTACAGTACTTTATCTTTAAGCAAACCACTGTTTTAAATTCAAATTAAATTGTTTATACAGTACAAAAATAATGTAGTTTACATGTAATAAAATAGTTACAATATTAAGCACAAAATAAAGCCACTAGTATGCAATGCACTTCTGGTAAACTAATATTAATGCTTAAACATGGTAGGCTATACATACTGAAAGGTGTATACATCTACATACATATATACGTATACTTTTTTAACACGCCGGCCATCTCCCACTGAGGCCGTCTCCCACTGAGGCCATCTCCCACTGAGGCCATATTCCACTGAGGCCATCTCCCACTGAGGCCATCTCCTATTGAGGCCATCTCCCACTGAGACTGGGTGACTTGAAAAAGAAGAAATTCTCTTATAAAGTTTGTCTTTTTGCATTTAATAGTTTATACAGGAAAAGAGGTTACTATATATATTTATGTTTTAACCCTTGTCTTAGAAAATAAATAGTACATATATGTATGTATTGAAGTCTGAAGTCTTTAAATCTAATCAAAGTTCCCATTACTAATGTTATGTAAATGTTTCAGCTAACGTCCAGTACTGCGGGTTCAGTGCGGCCTTTGATAAGGTATACCTGTTATTGTTAATTTTTAAATTCAAGACCACCAATTATACCTTCATTGTATTGTGTAAAGTTCTTATTTCTGTATTAACAAAAACACAAATTTACAACAATGAATAATGAGACTAGTTGTATTAGCTATCCTTTGTATGCTTAATTAACACATTCTTCTCATTTATTTTCTAAAGTTTTTCTAGTTCTTTTAATTGTTACTTTTGTAATGGCATTAATGGACTTATTTTTAAATGTATTTCACCAATAATTTGAATCACTTGTATTCTTTTCAGGATGACACTGTGGTGTACCTGGGCTGTCCCAGCATTATAAATGGTGAGTGTGCAATTTTGTAAGATTGCAGTCATTAAGCTTTAGAACATAAGAACATAAGAAAGGAGGAACACTGCAGCAGGCCTGTTGGCCCATACTAGGCAGGTCCTTTACAATTCATCCCACTAACAAACATTTGACCAACCCAATTCTCAATGCCACCCAAGAAACAAGCTCCGATGTGCAAGTCCCTCTCAAATCCAACCCCTCCCACTCGTGTACTTATCCAACCTAAATTTGAAACTACCCAAAGTCCTTGCCTCAATAACCCAACTAGGTAGAGCTCTTGGGCTCTTCTCTTAATGAGGCTGTTTAGGTGACTTGATTAGGTTGTGTTTTATTTACTTCACAATATGTATGGAGGCAGTCTGGTAGTATTATATTTTGACCTGAACCATTATGTTGCTGATGTAGAAAACATTAAATTAATTTACAGTTTGAATGTGTTGCATCCTTCAAGGTAGGGGAGGGGGGCAGTGCTTAGATAATGAAGAGTTCTTGATCCAAGGAACTGGAACTATCCTAACTTTCCTTGGATCAAATAATATTGTTTGCCATTCTCCAGGCCCTGTATGATCTCTGCAGGTTTAGAGTTTTCCCCAGAAATTTAGTAATAATAAGTCATCCTTACTGGTAGAAGTTCATTGACCGTCTTTATTTCTACTGCTGACACAAGGATTTCAGGTAGATATAACACAGCCTGAAGGTTATGTACTGAAGTTTGACCTGGATGCTCCTGAATACCCACATGAGAGACATCTAGGGCAGGAGTGTGGCCAGGAGTCTCACTATGAAGGCTGGGCCATGACTCAGAGGATGCTTGCTTCTAGCAGTGTGGTGGTGACTTCCTGTGGTAACCAGAAGAGAGTAAGTAACCCCATGAATATGGCATGGGTTGACTGGGTATGGGATGTGGGTATAGCAGGCAAATAAAGAGGAAGTATACTAAGGGTGGATATATGGGACAGGTGGTGCAAGTGGATAGGGGTTATAGTTACACGAAAGGTATGTGGGATTTTGGTCCTTATAAGGTGCCTTGATATACTCCCAAAAGATCTTGATTTTAAGCAATAGGAGGTACCCTACCTTTCCTCAGAATCAAATTTGATTAACCTCCCATTCCCAATAGTTTTAAACTAAATTTCAAGGTGTAGTATATACCCATGGTAGCCCGAGCAGGTGCCTGCGGCAAATTAACATTAAGAGTGACAGCACTCTAATTGCCAAAAACATTAAAGAGGGCAAATTCCCAGGCCCATTCCCTCGACAACAAAAGACTTGGCAGACGATGCAATGTTCGCGGCTTTTTACTGAGGGCCCACATAAAGGATCACTTGAACAACGAAATATGGATCCCAGGTTACAACCTATACAGATGTGACAGAGTGAACAGGCAAAAGGGGGGGGGGGGTTGCCTGTACATTGCAGAGTCACTTATTTGCACAGAACTGCTTAATGCCTCAAATGATGTAGTGGAAGTTTTTAGCAGTAAAGGTCGAGAACCAAAACCTAGTCATTGTGGTAGTCTACAACCTCTGGATGCAACATCCCACTTCCCAGGAACAGCTGTTAAAATTGCCCACTGCGGGAAAATTTTCCAGCTCCTGCCCCCAACATTTTGTCCTGGGGGTTTTCAATTTAAAGGGCACCTAAAATGGGGGAATATACAAATAATATTTTTGCAGAAAAAAACCAGGGGGCAGCCTGATAAAAACTCACATCACTGAGCTTTTAAATCTCTGCACAAAATTCAATTTAAACCAGCAAAAAATAACCCTCTAGACTGGAAATACACTAGACCTCATTTTTCACTAAAAATGATACTGATAAGAAATGTCACCATATAAAAAACAAAATCTCAGACACAACAAATTGAGGTTCAGACATGTTGCGTGGAGCCCCAGCCCGCATGATGAATAGCACGGGGAGCATTCACCAAATTAAACTTCAAAAACAAAAACATAAAGTGGGACCAAGTAAATCTATCCTAACTGATATAAGCTGGGAAGATATACAGGGGAAACACGACCCCAATTTATCCTAGAACAGTTTAAACTCGGGGGCACTCATGTATCACAAGGCTTATTCCTCTAAAAAAAGGGGGAGTGATGTAAAATAGAAAGAGACAGGCGCTCCCTTTACAGCGAGGGAAAAGAATAACAAGGGGCTAAAAGAGGTCAATATATCCGAAATGCGTAGGGAGACACTGGTCAAGAAATCAAGCATGAACTTAAGCTAAAAGAATCCTTTGGGGAGCCCAGGAATCGGGGGAAGAACTAAAACCCATAAATGAAACGAAAAAAACCCCAAAGTATTTCTTCTCCTATCCCAAATAAAAATCGAGAACAACGCCCATATTGGGCCCCTACTTAAAAAAGGGGTCCTACAAGATGACAGAAAGGGAAAATGAGTGAGCTATCAAGCCCCCCAAAATTGACTCGTTTTTAGCAAGCCGCTAACCAGACGAGAGTAAAAGATCAAAATGAATTTTTTATGAAGAGCCCAAAATTTGGATTAACACAAGCCATCGGTTTTTATCCTGATCCAAATGATTTTCAAACGGCGATAAATGAATGCCCAGGGCCTCTGTCCCGGGGCCAGACTCATAAAAAAACCCCTTTGTTTTCATCAAGAGCAAAAACCCCTATACACCCTTTTTCCCATCCTATGGAGAGGAGCATGGACAGGGGGGTCGTCCCACAGTTACTAAAAAAAACAGACATAGCCCCACCCCAAAAGGGGGCAGTAAAGCAACGCAAAGAACTACAGACCAAAAGCAAACACCCCATATCAAAAAAATCTTGAAAGGGTCCTAAGAAGAAAGATCCCCCCCCATCAAAACCCATCATTTTACCAACCCAGGGCAACATGGGTTTAGAAAAGGTCGCTCCTGTCTGCTCAACTATTGGATCACTACGAAAAGGTCCTAAATGCATAGAAGACAAAAAAAGCAATGTCATATATACAACTTTGCAAAAAACCTTCACCCTTTTGACCTGGCGTAATAGCGCACAAAATGCGTCTAAAGGAAAAAATCGGTCTGGACTAAATTTCCTCACCACAGAACACAGAAGTAGTCGTCAACAGAGTAAAACCGAGGGCAGCTACGTGAAAAAACTCTGTTCCCAAGGCACAGTACCGTCCCCTCTTGTTCCTCATTTATATCCCACATAGACAAGGATGTCAGCCACGACCGTGTCTTCCTTTCAATGAACCCCCAATCTGCATGACAGGTCTCCCTTGCAGACAGCAAAGGGTCCGGCGGACATCAACCAAATCTTTTAGTGGGGGTGCAGAAAACAAAATAAGTTCAAAAGATGGAAAATTTCAATTCTCAGATATGGTAAAAATGAGGAAAATTAAATTTTTCACAGAGTACAAAACAAATTTTGGGGACAAAATAGAGCGAACCCCCAACGTCAAAGACCTGGGGGGATCAGCGGAGGGTCCACCTTCAAGGACCTAACATTGTACAATCGCATCTGCTAGAAAAAGACAGGATGGTAATGAAACCCTTCCCAAAAATAGGGGGGCCAAGCCCATATGACACTTTCAGGTCACTTTTTCATCTAGGCGGATATGCTGCACACTAACACACCTTTCAAGGGAGGTGAAATTGCCAACAAAAATTACGAGAACTTTACGGGGCGCATAACGGGGATAAAACCCTCAATTTTCTGGGGGCTTGAGGGTTTCCAAAAACCTTATTCCCCGGGAAACCCGGAGGGGGAGGTACTTTATTTTAAATCACCTGGAAAATCCTAAAGGGGCTAGTACTGAAGCACACGAAAACACTCACTACAAAGCAAAGACTTGGTACGATGCACCATCCCCCCCCAAGAAAAGTGGGGGGTCACTAGCACGTTAAAAACCAACAATAATGTCAGGGGCCTGGACTGTTCATGCCCCCCAGCACACATAAGGGGGATTACCAACAAAGACCCCCGGCGTCTTTAAGCTGGGAACTGGACAACACCTAAGTCAGTTCCCGATCCCGGGCTGGGCTGACGTTGGTTTTTCGTGCAGCCAGCGCAACAGCCGGTTGATCGGCTCTATCACCAGGAGGCCCGGTCACAGCCGGGGGCCGGGGGGGGTTGACCCCCCGGAACTTTTTCCAGGTAAAAATCCAGGTAAACAACCTTGAATTTCAGCACCCATATCCAAAAAAATATCAAAAAAAGTATCCAAAACAGTTGGGGTCCCTTCCAAGATCGATACACGTGCCGCAAAAAAGCCCTTCTCACCTATACCATTCATCTTTTCCATACCTCACCTATGCTATTTGTCTTGGGGTCAATGCAGCAATACACCCAAGCCAATAATAACTGACAAAAAGCTGAAAAGAATAATCACTAATTCCATCCTGGCAACCCCCCCCCCCCCACTCTTATAATCTAAACTTCTCCCCTTTTCAAACATCCCCAAATTACTACTGTGCAATTTTACAATACAGGACCTTTTAAATTCCCGTATTAACCTTGACCTAAAATGCTTTTATATTTGACAGGGCCCAAAAAGGCATTCACCAACACAAAAAATCTTCCTTCCCCTGCCGACTAAAACCCTTTTCAAAAACTCAAAGTATGTCAAAGGCCCTAAAATCTGGAACACCCTACCTGAAACTCTAGAACAGCAGACACATTCATCACCTTCAAAACTACTGTTAGAAAACATCTTATCTCCCTGATACACCCCACCAACTAACTACATAAAAACCACCTGGTGGTCCACATTTACACTCACTCTCCCATTCGACTATAAGCACAGAAATACGTATCCTATTCTTAAAATAATGATTCCTAACTAGTCATAAGTTTGCTTGTGATACTCTAATATAGAAACTATGTATTGTGCCAAAACAAAAGCATTCACATTGCTAAACTCACAAACTAGTATTTGTCACTTAGTATTTAGTCAACTTACTCCACAATTTGTTATAATTTAGGGTTAAAAATAATCTAAGTTTGCCCGAAATGCCTAGCCATGCTAGGTGTTCTAGTGGCCCCCTCTGTAATTAGTATTTTACTACATGTAAACCACACAATAACCAAAATCTGTAAACCCTGCATTGTAATCCTTATAGGGAATAAACTTTGATTTGATTTGATTTGAATATCTACAGGTGTAGTATATACCCATGAATATCTACAGGTGTAGTATATACCCATGAATATCTACAGGTGTAGTATATACCCATGAATATCTCAGTTGTCATTACTGTTACAATACCCAGGTACCTGTTGTGGCCTTGCAAAAATTTTGGCTGAGTTTTGATAAACCTTAATGTAGAATATCCTCACATTTAGGGATTGTATTTATTATTTATTATCTGTATTTATTATCTGGAGTATCTGAGAGAGTTAGAGCAAAGGAAGGGGTAGCAGTAATGTTAAATGATCAGTTATGGAAGGAGGAAAGAGAATATGAGTGTGTAAATTCAAGAATTATGTGGATTAAAGTAAAGGTTGGATGCGAGAAGTGGGTCATAATAAGCATGTATGCACCTGGAGAAGAGAGGAATGCAGAGGAGAGAGAGAGATTTTGGGAGATGTTAAGTGAATGTATAGGAGCCTTTGAACCAAGTGAAAGAGTAATTGTGGTAGGGGACTTGAATGCTAAAGTAGGAGAAACTTTTAGAGAGGTTGTGGTAGGTAAGTTTGGGGTGCCAGGTGTAAATGATAATGGGAGCCCTTTGATTGAACTTTGTATAGAAAGGGGTTTAGTTATAGGTAATACATATTTTAAGAAAAAGAGGATAAATAAGTATACACGATATGATGTAGGGCGAAATGACAGTAGTTTGTTGGATTATGTATTGGTAGATAAAAGACTGTTGAGTAGACTTCAGGATGTACATGTTTATAGAGGGGCCACAGATATATCAGATCACTTTCTAGTTGTAGCTACAACTGAGAGTAAAAGGTAGATGGGATACAAGGAGAATAGAAGCATCAGGGAAGAGAGAGGTGAAGGTTTATAAACTAAAAGAGGAGGCAGTTAGGGTAAGATATAAACAGCTATTGGAGGATAGATGGGCTAATGAGAGCATAGGCAATGGGGTCGAAGAGGTATGGGGTAGGTTTAAAAATGTAGTGTTAGAGTGTTCAGCAGAAGTTGTGGTTACAGGAAAGTGGGTGCAGGAGGGAAGAGGAGCGATTGTGGAATGATGATGTAAAGAGAGTAGTAAGGGAGAAAAAAGTTAGCATATGAGAAGTTTTTACAAAGTAGAAGTGATGCAAGGAGGGAAGAGTATATGGAGAAAAAGAGAGAAGTTAAGAGAGTGGTGAAGCAATGTAAAAAGAGAGCAAATGAGAGAGTGGGTGAGATGTTATCAACAAATTTTGTTGAAAATAAGAAAAAGTTTTGGAGTGAGATTAACAAGTTAAGAAAGCCTAGAGAACAAATGGATTTGTCAGTTAAAAAATGGAGAGGAGAGTTATTAAATGGAGAGTTAGAGGTATTGGGAAGATGGAAGGAATATTTTGAGGAATTTTTTAAATGTTGATGAAGATAGGGAAGCTGTGATTTCATGTATAGGGCAAGGAGGGAATAACATCTTGTAGGAGTGAGAAAAAGCCAGTTGTGGGGTGTGGGGGAAGTTCGTGGGGCAGTAGGTAAAATGAAAGGGGTAAGGCAGCCGGGATTGAGGGGATAAAGAAAAGAAATGTTAAAAGCAGGTGGGGATATAGTTTTGGAGTGGTTGGTGGCAATATTTAATAAATGTATGGAAGAGGGTAAGGTTTACCTAGGGATTGGCAGAGAGCATGCATAGTTCCTTTGTATAAAGGCAAAGGGGATAAAAGAGAGTGCAAAAATTATAGGGGATAAGTCTGTTGAGTGTACCTGGTAAAGGTAATGGTAGAGTTATAATTGAAAGAATTAAGAGTAAGACGGAGAATAGGATAGCAGATGAACAAGGAGGCTTTAGGAAAGGTAGGGGGTGGGACCAGGTGTTTACAGTGAAACATATAATGAACAGTATTTAGATAAGGCTAAAGAGGTCTTTGTGGCATTTATGGATTTGGAAAAGGCGATGACAGGGTGGATAGGGGGGGAATGTGGGAGATGTTGCAAGTGTATGGTGTAGGAGGTAGGTTACTGAAACAGTGAAGAGTTTTAAAGAGGATAGTGAGGCTCAAGTTAGAGTATGTAGGAAAGAGGGAAATTTTTTCCCCGTAAAAGTAGGCCTTAGACAAGGATGTGTGATGTCACCGTGGTTGTTTAAAATATTATAGATGGGGTTGTAAGAGAAGTAAATGCGAAAGGGGCTTGGCAAGAGGCGTGGAGTTAAAAGATAAAGAATCATACACAAAGTGGGAGTTGTCACAGCTTGCTCTTTGCTGATGACACGTGCTCTTGGGAGATTCTGAAGAGAAGTTGCAGAGATTGGTGGATGATTTGGTAGGGTGTGCAAAAGAAGAAAATTAAAGGTGAATACAGGAAAGAGTAAGGTTATGAGGATAACAAAAAGATTAGGTGATGAAAGATTGAATATCAGATTGGAGGGAGAGAGTATGGAGGAGGTGAACGTATTCAGATATTTGGGAGTGGACGTGTCAGCGGATGGGTCTATGAAAGATGAGGTGAATCATAGAATTGATGAGGGAAAAAGAGTGAGTGGTGCACTTAGGAGTCTGTGGAGACAAAGAACTTTGTCCTTGGAGGCAAAGAGGGGAATGTATGAGAGTATAGTTTTACCAACGCTCTTATATGGGTGTGAAGCGTGGGTGATGAATGTTGCAGCAAGGAGAAGGGCTGGGGCAGTGGAGATGTCATGTCTGAGGGCAATGTGTGGGTGTGAATATAATGCAGAGAATTCGTAGTTTGGAAGTTGGGAGGGGGTGCGGGATTACCAAAACTGTTGTCCAGAGGGCTGAGGAAGGGGTTTTGTTGAGGTGGTTCGGACATGTAGAGAGAATGGAGCGAAACAGAATGACTTCAAGAGTGTATCAGTCTGTAGTGGAAGGAAGGCGGGGTAGGGGTCGCCTAGGGAAAGGGTTGGAGGGAGGGGGTAAAGGAGGTTTTGTGTGCGAGGGCTTGGACTTCCAGCAGGCAGCTGAGCGTGTTTGATAGGAGTGAATGGAGACAAATGGTTTTTAATACTTGACGTGCTGTTGGAGTGTGAGCAAAGTAACATTTATGAAGGGATTCAGGGAAACCGGCAGGCCGGACTTGAGTCCTGGAGATGGGAAGTACAGTGCCTGCACTCTGAAGGAGGGGTGTTAATGTTGCAGTTCAAAAACTGTAGTGTAAAGCACCCTTCTGGCAAGACAGTGATGGAGTGAATGATGGTGAAAGTTTTTCTTTTTCGGGCCACCCTGCCTTGGTGGGAATCGGCCGGTGTGATAATAAAAAATAATTTATTATTGTACAGTATTATTTTGTGTGAATGGTTTATACTTTGGGGAGGAAGGAACGTTAATTTTAGCTATGGATGTGTGTTTGAGTGTGGTGGACACTTGGGTGGGTGTTGTAAACATTTGTATTGCATAATGCACTGAAAGTCTTTTTTAATCAATAATTTAAAGTTCCTTCTGCAAATTATCTGGGTAACATTCATGCTAATCTTCTACTGCTGTAGCTAATTAGCAACACCCAGACTGGTATAGGTTGAGCCACAATTAGTTTAATATCTCTATGCACCTTCAAACCCATCCTGTGGGTGGTAGTTGAAAGATTACTGGCAGAAGTTAGCTGTTGGATGGTACTGAATGATCCACACAAGTTTTGTGAACTTGATGTTCATCTAGCAGTAAACATGTACCCAGGTGGTAGTCACTTGTTATGCAATCACATCCTGGGAAGTGGAAGTCAGTGGCAGTGCCAAGGGGGACTGAAGCCCCCAAAATTCCATAAGCCCCCTAAAGCCCCCAAATAAAAAAAAAAATACTTTAAGGCAAGTTCCCTAGCCTCTAATTCAAACCAGACTGCCACTGCTAAACCCCTCCTGTATCAAACTTTTGTAGCCACCCCTGGCAGTAGTGTACCAGAGATAGGGCTTTGGAATAAGCTAATGTAGGACAACCATTCTTAGCCTGTAAATTCCATAAATAATGAAGCTCATGTAGGTGGTGGAGCTGGAGATGATGACACAGTTGCTGGAGGGAGCAAGGGACACTGGAGAACTGCTGGGGTCGGTGCTGGAGAGCTGCGATCTTGATGGAGATGGTGAGGATGAGGTGCTGGTGGGTGCTCCTCTAGGGAAAGTACATACCTCTTCAGGCTACACCGAACCTGGCAAAGTCATCATCCTGGGAACCAAGGTTTGCCATCACACTAATATATTCATGGGGAAGTGCTAGACCAATACTGTGCAGCTCCTGGGGAATAAAAGGTAATCAAGTTTGATCTAGAGAATAGAGAATGGCTCCAGAAGTCTGAATCAAGAGCCCACACTGTCAAGGTACAATAATAAGCATTTGCTGTTTTTTCTAACTGCACATCTCAGGGGAAAGGGACCTTGATGCCAGTAATGGGAGCTTGATTCAAGAACCTGGATTTTCCTTCTCTTGGACTATATTTGAATGCCTGCCTTTCTCCAAGTGCAATATGACCCCTTATGGGTTTTGTGCTTCCCCTTGATTAAAAAAATTCTTGCATATTCAATGACCTATACAAGTTTAACACATGTTTTCAATATAATATTAATACTGCTGAGTTTTCTCATTCATTTTGTCACTTTTCTCAACATTTTGTGTTAGTGGATTATAACTTTGGTTTTGGATTATTTCAGTGTTCATTGTGTATGAATTATTGTCTGTTAATGTATATTCTTATTTACTGTGACTCTGGACTTCTGAATATTTTTAAAATGTAATCATTCTTCCTTTCACACTCCTCCCATCCCCTCCCCACACACATACTCTGACACTCACACACTCAGTCACACACACACTCAGTCACACACACACACTCAGTCACACACACACACTCAGTCACACACACACACCTCAGTCACACACACACTCAGTCACACACAACACCTCAGTCCACACACACACTCAGTCACACACAGTCACACACACAGTCACACACACAGTCACACACACACTCAGTCACACACAGTCACACACACAGTCACAAAACCCCAGTCACACACACACTCAGTCACACACAGTCACACACACAGTCACACACACACAGTCACACACACACTCAGTCACACACAAATCACACACACAGTCACACACACAGTCACACACACACTCAGTCACACACACACTCAGTCACTCACACACTCAGTCACACACACACTCAGTCACACACACACTCAGTCACACACACACTCAGTCACACACACTCAGTCACACACACACTCAGTCACACACACACTCAGTCATCACACACTCAGTCACACACACACTCAGTCACACACACACTCAGTCACACACACACTCAGTCACACACACACTCAGTTCCACACCACACTCAGTCACACACACACTCAGTCACACACCAGTCACACACACACTCAGTCACACACACACTCAGTCACACACACACTCAGTCACACACACACTCAGTCACACACACACTCAGTCACACACACACACTCAGTCACACACACACACACTCAGTCACACACACACACACAGTCACACACACACAACTCAGTCACACACACACACTCAGTCACACACACACACTCAGTCACACACACACACACTCAGTCACACACACACACTCAGTCACACACACACACTCAGTCACACACACACTCAGTCACACACACACTCAGTCACACACACACACACACACACACACACACACACACACACACACACACCACACACACACACACACACACACACACGGGGCCAGGAGCTAGGACTCGACCCCTGCAACCACAAATAGGTGAGTACACACACACACACTCTCTCTCTCTCTCTCTCTCTCTCTCTCTCTCTCTCTCTTGATGTACTTCCCTCCCTCCAACACTACCTTTTCCTCCTTCATTCCCTCCCACCAATCACTCTATGATGTAATGTTTTGTTTGGTGCCCCACAGGGCACCAAACACACGATGGAAGGTACTGAAGACTTCAGCAGGTTTGGCACCAGCATCGCCTGCCTCGGGGACCTCAACAGTGATGGCTACCAAGGTTTGTATCTTTGCTGCAGTCGTGTGTTTCCTCAAGGAAGTTACCATCATACTGGTGAGGGATTTTTGACCCAAGGTATTGGAACTTTCTCTTCTCCTTACATGGACCAAACCTCATTGCCTCTTATTTCCCAGAAGTTGTATGACCCCTATAGATTTAGTGCTGCTCCATAAAACTACAGTAATAATAAAAATAATACAAGTTCTGTGTTGTAGCAATCTTTGGAACGCTCCTGTAGTTTTTTAATTGGTACCAGCCTTCATAGATAACCTTCCACTCTAGTCCATTCAGATACATACATGCTACTTGCTTTCTTCCTCTTGGCTCTGCCTCTTTACCTTCCTTCTTGACCCTGCCTCTCCTCTCCTACAGATGTGGCAGTGGGAGCACCTCAGCACTCTGGTGGAGGAGCAGTATTTATCTTCCTTGGGTCAGTCACAGGCATAAGGTCATCACCATCTCAGGTACATGCATCTGCCTGCCCACTTGCCCATGCACATGGTACCAGGAGCTAGTGCTCACTTCCCCCATCCAAAACCTCTAAACAATTATATCTGTTCCATATTTATAAATATAAGTTTATGATCTAAGTATATATAAATAGCTTTTCAATATGTTACTGCAGCAATATTCATATTGCATAAATGTCTATAACAGTATCTTATAAATGTGTATAACAGTATGTTATAAATCTTCTTCGTTCAACGTACCAGCCGTATCCCACTCAGGTGAGGAGGCCCAAAAGGAAAAACGAAAGTTATATGTTATAAATATATATAATATATATATATATATATATATATATATATATTTTATATATATATATATATATATATATATATATATATATATACAGTGGTCCCTCGATTATCGATGGTAATCCGTTCCTTTAAGCCGGTCAATTATCGAAATGGTCGATTTACGAATCAATTTTCCCCATAAGAAATAATGTAAATTCAATTAATCCGTTCCTGACACCCAGAAGTATTAAAACAAAAAAATTTTTTACATGAAATATTCATGTAGTACATAAACAATACAATGGGAAATGATGAATGAAACATTAACAGCATAACACTTACCTTTATTGGAGATTCTTCTTAGTGTATGGGAGACTGGAGGAGGAGGAGAGAGTGGATTGTTTATAGTTTGGAAGGGGAATCCCCTTCCAGCAACACCTCAGGTACCATTTGCTTTTCTGGGGTTGCTTGTCTTCTCTGTTTCTTAATGCCACTAGGACCAGCTTGAGAGTCACTGGAGTCCTGTCTCGCAAAATAACTGTGCAGAGAGCTCTGTTTCTGGCGTCTCTTTAAAACTTCCCTAAAATGGGCCAAGACTCTGTCACTGTACAAGTTGCTGATATGGCTTGCAACATCCTTCTCTGGGTGATGTTTCTCCATAAATCTTTCCATCTTACCCCACATAGTAAAAATCTCCTTAATTTCTGAAGAAGGCACCTTCTTCCATCTCTCTTCCTCCTCCTCTGCAGCAAGATTCTGAGCTGCGATCTGTTGCTCTTCCTGCTGAAGCTCTTGCAGCTCCTCAGTGGTTAGCTCTTCGTTGTGGTCCTCCACCAACTCTTCCACATCCTCCAAACTCACATCCAACCCCATGGAACTCCCCAGTGCCACAATAGAGTTCAAAACTGACATAGGCTCATCAGGGTCAGCCCCAAACCCTTCCAAATCCCTCTTGTCGACACAATCTGGCTACAATTTCTTTGGAGCCATGGTAGCTTATTTAGCACTTAAATAACTTGCAAGCACTAAAATAAATGAAATATTATGAAATATTTCACTGGAGCACGTGAGAGGACCGCCGCTAACTGGTAAACAATGGCACACTGGCTGGGAAGGAAGGCTGAGGCGGGTCGAGGCCCGCTTACCTCGTGCATACGCGTCTGGGACGACGGGTCGAGACGGGTCGATAAACGAATTTCGGTCAATTTCCGAGTCAATATTTTGTTGAAAAAACCGGTTGATTTCCGAAATGGTCGACTTTCAGGCCGGTCGATTATTGAGGGACCACTGTATATATATATATATATATATATATATATATATATATATATATATATATATATATATATATATATATAATAGTAATCTGTTATAAATGTTCATAAGAGTATCTGTCATAAATGCAGTGGAACCTTGGTATGCACCCTTAATTCATTCCAGAAGGCTGTTTGAGTGCCACTCCGTTTTAGTATCGAACAAATTCTTCCCAACCAATTTTCTGTTTGGTTGGCTGTTATTACTAATCATTGTAGGCCCCATGGTGACTTATTTATACAAATAATACAAAAAATGTGAAGAAACACGAAATAGTTTACAGCGAAGTTCTGGCAGGTTGTATTTGTTTGTTCGAGTACTGAGCTTTGTTCGAGTAGGGAGCTGCTCATATACTGAGGTTCCACTGTAAATCAATTCACTTCTTCATTATTAAGAGGAGGGTGATGGACTGTGATGTCAGCACACTTCTGGTAAGACATATTGAATAAGTAATGTTCATTTGTGTTTCCTCACCTTTGGCTCACTCTACCTTGCTGGAGGACAGCTGCTGTGTTAAAAAGAACAATTTATTTGTATAGTTGAGAATTTGTGAACCAAGAGTGCCCTAATTTAGGTTTTGCTAAGACCCTCTTTAAAACTGTCCTTCATGGAGGGAGAAGTCTTGAGCCAAGAAATCAGCATTATCCTCTCTACCCTTGGATGACATCTGATTACCTTCTATTCCCCAGTCAGTGTGTGTTCTTCATTGAGGTATACAGGGTATAATGCTACCCTTCTAGTTTTTTAATGACCCTATGAAGCTGAAAACCCCTATGGATCAGAACAGGAAATACAGGCTTGATCTTTTGCCCCTAGTCATGAGGAACTAGCTAGCTGCACTCTTTAAAGTCTTGTGATGTGTTGTGCAGGTGCTGCAGCTGGCTGAGTTCTCCTCCAGCAGGAGGAGAGGTTTTGGCTACAGTCTTGCTGGTGGGAAAGACGTCGATGGTAATGGATATCCAGACCTCTTGGTGGGGGCGCCCATGTCAGATGCTGCCTTCCTTCTTTAGGTGGGTCCTTGATACCATTATTAGGTAAGTTCCTGATACTGTACCTTCTTCAGGTAGGTCCTTGATGCCTTCTTCAGGTAGGCCCTTGATATCTTCTGTGATGCTTTGATAACTGTCAGGTAGGGCCTAGTGTTGGTTCCTTCAGATAGGTTGGTTTTCTTGTGAAGAGCCAAACATGACCTCCTTGGCAAATGCTTGAACAGATTGTGGATATGTCTTGTATAATGACTTTGAATTGTTTAATTGCTCTGTGAGCACTCTGTAACAGTAATTTAGTCACAGTAGTAACTAGAAATTGATAACAATGTCAGTAATTGTTTTAGTGCTGAATAACCAAATAATTCTAATGTAAATTAAGGAAATCAGTATGATTTTGACTGTGAATTTAACTGACTATGAGTCTGAAACTAACTTTAGCCTCTGCTTCTCTGTCACACTCACTTTCCTGTTGCATTTTCTCACAGGACAGCACAGGTGCTGCAGCTTCAGGTGTCAATGTTTGAGTTTAGCACCAGCCAGGTGGACCTTCAGGAGAGGAACTGCCTGGAGGAGGGTGAGGAGTGGGCACTCCGCGTGTGCTTCCACCTCCGTGTTCAGCTGGGTGTTCTGGGCCACCAGGGCAAGTTTGATATAGGTGAGGTGTATGACTGCATTTCTATTTCTATCTCTCTCATCAGCGAGGGAATAGAAAGTAGTCTCGCCCTTGCTTGAACTTTTAACCACCCACCATCTTAATTCCACTTATTGCCTGAAGTGGAGTAATTCCATTCAACTCAATCACTTCTCATAGCACAATTATAAATTATTTTATTACTACAGAGTATATGGATGTCTCAGTACCCCTTAATTAATAACCACTTTCTTTCACTCTGTTAAGTAAACTTACACCTGAATACTCCTTCAGAGCAGTTGGCACTTACAAACACTTAAACATTTACCAAATATATGCCAGAGTCCAGAATTAGCTTAAACCCTAGATTTAGTCTATTGATCCTGGGGCAACCTCTTACCACTCATCTGGGTTACCTCCACTTATGTTCTATCTGGTCATATTCAGGGTACAATGGAACCTTGGTTTTTGTATGCCCTTGTCTGTATGTAAAACTATAGTTATTCTCTATAAAATGTATTTTTTGTTAATATTTCCCATAAGAAATGATGTAAATTCAATTAATCCACTCCAGACACTCAAAAATATTAACAAAAAAATACATTTTATAGAGAACCTTTGATATACCTTTGAAGAGTTTCGAGAGTTTCTCTACTCTCTGAGCCCGGCTATGGGTCAGGCTCATCTGGTGCTTGCCTGGTCAACCAGGCTGTTGCTGCTGGAGGCCCGCTACCCCACATGTCCAACACAGCCTGGTATATGAAAACTGAGGTTCCACTGTATGTAGATTTTTTTTCAATGCACTGACCGTCTCCTAAGTTTTTCTTTTTACATGTTGTAATTTATACAGGAGTTAGTAGCTGCTTGCTCCTGGCATTATAGTTGCCTCTTACAACTCCCATGTATATAAAATATATCATAATATCAATATATCATTAATATACTATATATTGTATATAAATTTTTTCTCATACCTTTTTGTAAATGTCATTGACTGTAAATATATTGATTACGTGAAGTGGTAAACCCGTGAGCTATTCAGTGAAAGGTTTGGTACAGGCTCGGTAATCTGCCTGCTAATCGCAAACTACACTGTTTAGAATTTTATAGAAATTGACCTTGTAACCTATGCTGAGCTTTGACATTTCTTGATCCAGAAGTGAGAGTGCAGGTGGTACTGGACGGCAACTATCCCCGTCAAAGGATCTTCTTCAGAGACTCCACCAGTCAGCATGTTCAGGAGACAGTCCACATTGTAAATAGGATCCACCAGCTTGAGTATCACATCTATGCTGAGGTCAGACCATTAGAATTTAGTTTTAGTCTTTGCTAATAGTTTAGAGAGGAAATAAACCCACGATAAGTTGTAATGAATGACTGTCAATAAATAAACATTGACAACCATTCACTGTAACTTACTTTGGCTTTATTGACTACATGGCTTTAAATGGTATGAGAATAGATGTACCATGAAAATTTCTGAGGCTGTGGGATAAGACAGTAGGGTCACAGTTGGTGCTGCTGATACAAGCAAGTCATACAAGTGGTTGTTGTAAAATACCCCTCATGTTAACTCTGTGGTTACACCATTGGTTAGTCCCTGTCCATTCTTCTGTTTATTCTTGAAGAAGATTATTATTATTATTATAATCAAGGGGGAAGCACTAAACCCGGAGGATTATACAGCGCCTGGGGGGGGGGGGGATGTGGAAGGCATTCAGGCTTAATTCGGGGAACTGGAGCACAGATCCAATTCCCTAAATCAGGAGCCCCTCACCAACATCAAGGAACCTTCCTTGAGGGGTCTTGGAGAAGAATTTTTAAACTTTCAATAAAAGTTTCTTCACTTGGCTGACAAATATTGAACTGTTGCAGCAACAATATTGTTATTTTTATTCTTCTTGATTTTCATGTTTTGTGGATTATACTCTACCTTAATTTTACTCATAAAAAATGCTCTGTTGTTGTAGATGTTCCATAACATATGACCACTATGGGTTTAGGGCACATGAATTATAGAGCAATAGGAAATACCATGAAAACTGTAGGACAGTTTGCATGGAAACTGCTGTTACATTACTATTTACATTCAAGGGAAGGAAATGTAAACCAGTATCTGGTATGTCTGCTTCCTAGTTAATTTATTCTTTAATAACCCAGTCAGATTCTCTTTGCCTTTCATTTGCAGCATCTGCCACATCGCTTCCCTATCCACCCTATCACATGCCTGTTCTAAATCCAGAAATGTGACAAAACCTTCCTTACCTTTCATCTTAGTTCACTTACATGCTTCGGTGTAAACACTTGGTCTACTCATTTTCTTTCCCTTCCTAAATCCACCTTCACTTAAATGTTGGGGAAGATACATGACCGTTACAAAAAAACTCACTAAGCATATTGTCATACTGTGTGGCAGAACTTGTGTGTCATCCAGATTTACTTCCTGATCACAAACACATGTTCCTGATCAGCTTGGCTGAGATGCTTATGCTGCACTGCATGCAGCGAGCAGCACCCAACAACCTGACTGATCAAGTCATTAAACAGGGAGGTCTGGTCTGGAACTGGGCCAAGCCCCTTTTCTCAGGTTTCCTCAGTGATTTTCTTGCTTATTGAAGCCTTTTAACAGGGGGTGCCTTGATGCAGGTGAAAAGCTGTTCACCCTGAGAATTAGAGCTGCCCTTCCTTGAATCACACATGATTACCTCTCATTCTCCAGGAACTATTTTGATCCCAATGGGTTGAGCACCAAACCCATGAATATAATGGTGATTTCTCCATACCTGCTTGCTTTCTGCAGGAGCTGGCCACTGAGGAGGAAGCCGTGGCCCTCGCAGGTGCAGACCTGCAGGTGAGCCTGGTGCAGGTGCACCCTCAAGAGCATGAGGATCTTCTGCCAGTGGTGGAAGTCCCACAACCTTCCCAGCAGTGGACCAGCACCACCTCTGTCAGATTCTTATGCGGTAGTGATCCCAATACTTGCGTCGCCAAGACCAACATTAGACTCACCTTGGATAACCACAGGTAAGCTGGAGAGAGTGAGGGAAGTGTGTAAGTTGGGGAGAGTAAGAGGGTGTAAACTGGGGAGAGCGAGGGGAGGGTGTAAACTGGGGAGAGCAAAAGGAGGGTGTAAGCTAGGGAGAGCAAAGGGAGGGTGTAAGTTAGGGAGAGCAAGGGAAGGGTGTTAGCTGAGAAGAGTGAGGAAAGGAAAAGTGAGGGAACCACATACAAGCTTGAAAGCTAGACAAAGACACCACAGCATCTGGGGGAAATAGATTCAACTCCAAGAAAGGGAGGACAGGTCAAGTTGCATTGACCATGAACACCTTGATTCCACTGAGACCTCCCTTGAGAGGACAATCCAAAGCGCCGTTGTTTCTCCCAATTAAAATAATAATCATGCTACTTCTACTAACAATTAGGTCACACTACACATACATATGTATACACACTCATCTGAGTTTTCTTCTATTTTCTTAATAGTTCTTGTTCTTCTTTATTTCCTCTTACCGCCATGGGAAGTGAAAAAGAATTCTTCCTTTGTCAGTCATGTATGTTGTAAGAGGCAACTAAAATGCCAGGAACAAGGGGCTAGTAACCAATCTTCTGTATAAATTAGTAAATGTAAAAAGAATCAAATTCAAAATGGGAATTGACACAGTTACTTTTTGCTGATGATACTGTGCTTATGGGAGATTCTAAAGAAAAATTGCAAAGGTTAATGGATGAGTTTGAGAATGTGTGTAAAGGTAGAAAGTTGAAAGTGAACATAGAAAAGAGTAAGGTGATGAGGGTATCAAATGATTTAGATAAAGAAAAATTGGATATCAAATTGGGGAGGAGGAGTATGGAAGAAGTGAATGTTTTCAGATACTTAGGAGTTGACGTGTCGGCGGATGGATTTATGAAGGATGAGGTTAATCATAGAATTGATGAGGGAAAAAAGGTGAGTGGTGCGTTGAGGTATATGTGGAGTCAAAAAACGTTATCTATGGAGGCAAAGAAGGGAATGTATGAAAGTATAGTAGTACCAACACTCTTATATGGATGTGAAGCTTGGGTGGTAAATGCAGCAGCGAGGAAAATGGTTGGAGGCAGTGGAGATGTCCTGTCTAAGGGCAATGTGTGGTGTAAATATTATGCAGAAAATTCGGAGTGTGGAAATTAGGAGAAGGTGTGGAGTTAATAAAAGCATTAGTCAAGGGCAGAAGAGGGGTTGTTGAGGTGGTTGGTCTTAGAGAGAATGGATCAAAGTAGAATGACATGGAAAGCATATAAATCTATAGGGAAGGAAAGAGGGGTAGGGGTCTCCTCGAAAGATTTGGGAAAAGAGGGGTTAAAGAGGTTTTGTGGGTGAGGGGCTTGGACTTCCAGCAAGCGTGCATGAGCTGTTAGATAGGAGTGAATGGAGACGAATGATACTTGGGACCTGACGATCTGTTGGAGTGTGAGCGGGGTAATATTTAGTGAAGGGATTCAGGAAACCGGTTTTTTTCATATAGTTGGACTTGAGTCCTGGAAATGGGAAGTACAATGCCTGCACTTTAAAGGAGGGGTTTGGGATATTGGCAGTTTTGGAGGATATGTTGTGAAACTCTATACGTATATGCTCTAAACTGTTATATTCTGAAGCACCTCTGCAAAAGCATTGATAATGTGTGAGTGTGGGGAAAGTTTTGAATGATGATGAAAGTATTTTCTTTTTGGGGATTTTCTTTTTTTTTTTTGGGTCACCCTGCCTCGGTGGGAGACGACCGACTTGTTGAAAAAAAAAAAAAAAAAAAAAAAAAAAAAAACTTTTGTTTTCTTTTTTAGGTCAGCCTCCCTTTGGTGAGATACGGCAAGTGCATAAAAAAAAAAGTTTCTCCATCTCCTATTTTTAACCTGGATGTTTTTTGTGTTATTTTAATACTCTTATTGCCAAGAGTGCTGAGAGATCCCTTAGGTTAGTGCTCTTCATATCTCACAGCTTCCTTCATCTCTTCTGGTTTTTACTCTCTCCTTCCTTATGTCTCAGTTCCTCACATGTTGTTGCCTCTCAGGATTATCTTCGTGGTGGGTGAGGAGACGGTAGAGGCAAGGGCGACACTCACAGTGGAAAAAAGCACAGCCTCGAATTGACTCTGCAGGGGGAGCACAGTATGTCCTCGTCCTGAAAGAGTGCCGGGCCCTCAACACAAACATCACTTTCCACTGCACCATCAATGGCACTTGCAGTACCTCCTACAGGAGGCCCGGCCTGGCAGCAAGGTAAAAATATCCTAGCATCAGTTTCCTGGTCCTGGAATGAATTCTGTGTTGTGAAGGAAAAGTCTCCATGAGTGTTCAGGGGTTTAATGACACATACAGGTTTATTAAATAAAAATAAAAATTTTTCTTGGGAAATTTAGAATGCTCTTGTCTATATGATAATAGGGCTAACATTTCCTTTCAATTATAATAATATGTGAGATGAAAATACATACAAGTACATTCATACATACATGCATACACTACACAAAGTTTTGCCTCAATGTCCACATCCATGAAATGGAAATATAACCCATGACCATCTGGGTCATTTTAAAAATATGCATCATATATCTGAGTTTTTCCCTAGACACACTTCCTCTAGACAGGCCTCTCCCCTAAAAATACACAATACACACACACGCACAACCCCTTCAGCCTCGATCTTGTTAAACACTCGCACACAGCTTCACCTTAACCTCTCCTGTCTTTTTTTGATAATTCCTCCAGTTTCATTTTCAGTTCAAAAATCCTGATAGTATGGAGACAAAATGTGGAGAGACTGTTGAACTAAACAAGACACAGGAGGGTCTATCCTGCAGCTGATTCTGTCTGTATGGGTACTGAACCAAAAGAAACCACATGATAACCACCGCCACCTCCATCTCTTGGGCCCCGGGTCTCGCCCATCTTTGATCTTTCCCGGGGAAGGGAAATTATTACAATTCCCAAAAACCATACAAACCAGAAGATAAATGGTATAAAGCTGACAAGTGGTGAAAAAAGCACTAAGGCGAAGGGGTACACAGTTCAACCTGGTGGGCCCTCAGACCCCACAGGTTTTTCCTCACAGTATGGGTGTGAGGAAAACCCATAACTGATCAAAACTGCCTCTGCTTCCTTGTCTAGTTCATAGGTTCAAACCTATGGCATTTCCCTACAACTAAAAAAAAATAGTGAACCTTGTACTTTGGAAATCTAATTTTGAAAGCAAGTATCGAGCCTGCCTTCATTACTTTTGAAACCAGGTATCAAGTCTGCCTTCATTACCTAGCTTTAGGTCAATAATTATATAAAAGGAATCAATAGGATCTGTAGACCCCTGTGAGCTTAGCACATTCCCATGACTATTATGATAGAGTGGACTGGTAATCCACTATTATAACTATCATAAAAACCAAAAGGGTGGAACAATTCACAAAAAACCCACACTTATGAGAGGAAAAAATTTTTTGTTTTGGTTTGTCCTGGGTAATTGTCAGGTCACAACGTTGTCTTAGTGATCCAGGACAGACCAAAATGTAGTCATCATTTTTTTCTTCTAAGTGCGGTTATTTGTGAAGCATAGCTCATTGTGAACTGCCTTCAGCATTTACAGCCTCTCCTCACCCTTTAAAGACGGAGTTCTGTTTTCCCAAGACCCACATCAGTAAATGAATTCATTGCTAAGCAAGGAGCATACTATAATGGTAGTGGGTTTGTGTCAAAACCCTCTCTCATATTGTTTTTAATGTCACCTTTGCACCATTTATAACATTTTCTGGTATATTTTTAAATGTGTATACAATAGTGCACTGTATACTGGGAAAAAAACAGAATAGAGGAAATCAGCTCTTAATATACATTAGATATGCATACTTGTCAGAGAGCCTGTCATAAGTCCGAATCGTCGGTAAACAAGTATGTCCGCTAAATGAGGAGAGGCTGTACTTTGTCCCTGAAGCTCAAGCTTCCCACCTGCATCATCCTGGTTCCAACTCTTATCAGACCACAACCTGTAGTTTAGTAGGGTAGGAACCAGGTTGTTGACTTTTGGTGTGTGCGGATGTACATATAAATTGCCTAATTATGGATGAGGGGAGGCAAACTCCAGCTCCTGGCTTCACTTTAAACCAATACAGTAGGCCCCGCTTTACAGCGTTTTGCTAATACGGACATTGAAATTACAACCAAAACCTGTTATACAGCTCCCTACCTGACTCGTTATTATGGCCTCTGCACACCACTGTTTGTTTACATCTCCGTAGCTGAGCATCTCAAATTATATCGGAAACATTTCCCAAATTTCATTTTAAAGTTACGCGTATTTT